TCTCTAAATGCAACCCTCTCTAAATGCATACCTCAGAGCTGGTCCCAATGATATGCATTTAGAGAGGTCTGACTGTACGACAAACACAAGACTATCAAGTTACACTTGTAACGATGAATTATTTGTTGAACGAATATGAAAATCTGACCTTAATCTAGAAATTACCGGCAATACAAAATCCGGCCACCTAATTGTTAACCTTAGCCTATGGAACAAAAGACATGCATATAGGACTTTGTACGAGACAGGTTTGAGTCAGTCCTGAAAAGTCCGTGTGAAGTCGACTCAAGAACCAGGTCCAACAAGCTTTTTAACAGCTCTAGCTATATATAAGAATTTTACTAGGGTAACCCCTGTCGTGTAACTAATAAAAAATGATCCTCCCGCAATTTAACCCTAACCCTAGCACTAACCTAACCTAAACTAACCCTAACCCTAACTATTACTAAATTCATAGGGGTGCACACGGTGCATCCCTGCACCAAATATAATTTACCTAAATTAAATTTAGTAAATTTTTTTTTATTTTAATTCTATAACTATATAAAATTAAAATAAAAAAATTTTTATTAAGTTTGGTTTAAAAAAATTTACTTAGAAACAATTTGCTTGGTTTCCCCCATAATACTAATATTGTTTTTAAGGATCGTCAATTTTGTTCAATCAGAACTTGATAGTTCGAGTAGAATCTCACATGCCGACACTTTTTTTCGTCATGGCTAGGGTACTACCCGACGGGAAGATAGAACGTGCATTTATCTATATAAGGCTGCATTTAGGGGGGATGCAGTTATTTTTACTATCGAATCAGTAAAGTAAAACGATGTTTTACATATGAATAAGAACCGACATTCTAGTCCCGAAGGGTGATTTTCCTAGCAAAGATCCCATATATGGATATATCGTAATACGCAAAAATCAATCACTTATCTTGACGCGTCACTTAAGTCGCTTCGTATACACAATGGACTACTTTAACAAAACTGATCCAAAATGCTGGTCGCTTTTGGGATATCTCCAATGGAGATCCGACTTAGCGGATTTTGCAAGTAAAACGTATGAACATAGCGTTTTTATTGATATAATCAGAAAGAAGAGCTTATACCAAGTTGGGGCAGAAGGAGAAGCTGCAAGGCTGATATTGGGAGATTGGCAGGTTGTATTTATTTTAATAAAATGGCTGTTGAATGGGCCAAAAATTTGAAAATTTTTGGTAGACCACGAGTTATTGTTGCTACACACTAGTGGGACCATGAAGTTGCACAGTGATGACCAAGAGTCGGTAGTGATTCATCAACAGTCCAAAAAAATAGCGTGGCACTACTGACCATGTGTTGTAGGGTGTTTCTGACCACGAGTCAAACGCTATTTCTCATTAGTACTCGAGTTTTTGGTTCATTTATCACGAAACAGTGAAATGCTAATAAATAACTCTTCATTTTAAGGATATAAAAAATTCGCCAGAAGTAAGCGCTTTTTGGAATAATTACAATAACACGGACGTGCAAAGGAAGAGAAAACTATGGCAAATAGAATCTTCTGATGTAAGTACTTTTTATTGTTACGGCAAAGTCATAAAAATATGAATATTGACGTGATTCTCGTTATTTAATAGTTAGAATATGTATACAAGCGGGATCAGCAACTGGGAGAAGAGATTAAGCTTATTCGAGATAAAAGAATTAAAGCCCAATATAATGGCCTAACTCAAAGTCAATTTGTTGAGGTTAGCTTATTTTTTATAAGATTATGTTTATTTTTTGTACAAGAATAAAACAAATTGATGCATTTATATCTTTTAGACAAACGCGTCTATAATGAATCTTTCAAGTATCATTAATAATCCTGAAGAGTCTTATTCTACAATCGTTCCTAATATAAACATTTCAAGTAGCATTAATAATCCAGAAGAGTCTTATTCTACAATCGTTCCTAATATGAACCTTTCAAGTATCCTTAATGATCCAGAAGAGTCTTATTCTACAATCACTCCTAATGATGATGGTGTAAGTTAGTATTAGATTGATTTTTATGTAAATTATTTTCTCTATTTATTAGTTGTTATTCATCAGTTCAAGACGCCGCCTCAGAAACCATGTAAAACAACTATAACAACGCCACAAAAACCAATACTTTATGATAAAACTATGCAGTACTTAGTCAATCATTTTTCAATAAACGTCAACAAACAATGCGTGATAATGAAAGCTGATAATGTTGATGCTTTTCCAAAAGAAATTCGCAGTTGGCTTATAGACGTATTTTCGGTAGGCAAATATAAATCTTTCAAATGTTGCATCAAATAATTAAAAATTTTTATTAATTAGTCAGAAAAGAACGCATTTGAGAGTGCTATTATGACTCCACCAAATCCCGATCACCCATTTCGGAAAGTTTGCAAAAGTATTCTATACGATTTGTGAGTATATACTGAATCTATTTGTTTCCAAGTATAACCAACTAATTCACAACACAAAATAGTTTTTCCATGACAATTGAAGGACCTTTGATTCGATATATTGGTGAAAGAAAATATACCGTTGATAGAATTGTTCCTTTATTTAAGGCCATCCAATCTGTTTACCGGGAATATACATTCGATTGGATAGAAGTACAGGCCAACTGTATAAAGGATGCAAGAATGTTGTTTCCAGAATTTGACCTGAAGTTAAATAAAGTAGACGGAATTGGGTTTAAGGTTTCTAGTAACAAAGAAGTTGTATTTATCGAAGTATCCGGGGGACCGGAAAATGCCATTTTAAAGCACGTCAGAGAAGACACTGAAAAACTCATAAAAGAGGGTATGTTTGGCTTGGTTGCTTTACTCAGAGACTTTTTAGATAAAAATGCAGAATGCGCAAAGAATATTTGTACCTACATGGTGCAGTGCATTGGTAATGTAATTAATTTATTATATTCACTAGTTTCTTTTGAATAGCATAAATCTTATTTTGTAGTTTACTATAGGTGACCGAATCACATTAAGTGAGCTTCGTCTCGATGGAAGACACTATTATAAAATTTCGCAAATAAAGTCTGCTATATTACCATTTTCTTTTGAGGAAGTTGAAAAGTTTATAGAAGTATTTGAACTGCTATACGCTTTGGTGGTGTGTATTTTTATATATATTCTGTATGCCTTATAAGTATTTCAGTTTAACCGTTGTTTTTATTTTCAGAATGGTCTTAAAAATCAAACAAACGGATTAAAGAAATTAATGCTTGCTGATTCTAACAGTAATGAACCCACAATCCGGGATTGGAAATACTCTTTTAACATGGGAAGGTACCGAAATAATTTATGAAGACTTTAATTATGAAAATATTTTATGTACCAAATAGAGGATTAACACGCATGTAACTGGAATTTTGAGATCAAGCCATAATGGCATGTTCTCAAAGTTTAGAACAAAATGTATTTCTTTTTGGTTTTAAAAGATGGTTTTTATAGATGGAGAACCAGAAGGAGTTATAACTATTTGTTTCATTTTATCAGGATCAAATTTATATGCTTTCTTTATCCAATAAAAGTCTATGCATAACGTATGCAATTCCAGTTCTAAATGTTAATAATGAGTGTACTAAGTTATATATACTTTCAAATTTTGCGCTTGATAGACTTAATAGAACTGATGCACGCTCGAGTAAACAGCTTTATATATACCAGACTCCTTTATCATACACTGGATTCCATTATAGTGCGAGCAACATTGATCAAAAAGATCGTTAGCACATTTTTTATATTTATCTTCATGAGTTTTTGTTTTTTTTGGCATTTATGATGGAATAGATGGAATCCTTCAACAACTGATTTAATTTTTTATGATCCCTTAGCTATTTATTGACGCTAGAATTCGGTCGTCCTGTCTCTAGCAACATGGCGTTTTCGTTTTCATTACCTTTTAAAGCGAGCTATATTCTGAGTTAGTAAAATTATAATGAATCTCAATAATTAATAGAACTCAATAATAGGTTACTTATGTAACAAACGCAGGATTCATAAAAATATAAAGTATGAAGCCTGCAGTTTATCACCGCAGAAAATCATCGTCCCGGGCGACTAGACTGATCTGTTTGGCAATTTTTCAAACTGATAAGCCTTCTAAATTTTTTCAACTATTTGCTAGCGAAGATGGTTTGAAAGTTTTATATTTCTGTATTCAACCAGAGATGTGCATATCAATATGTAGTCCTTGCAATACTGTAATGTTTTATTCCAAAAATCAATAACTTAATCGGATGGCCGAAAAATCATTCGGCAAATTTGATCAGATGTCCCAGAAATTATGAAAATAGCTATAAAAATTTTAAAATTTTTAAAATAAAAGTCCGGGCGGGTGGGTCATTTCTTTGTTTTATGTTATGGGAACCAAAAATTAACTTTATACGGCCTAATAGAAAAGATAAAATATTCAATAAAAATTTTTGCTTTAATTCTATAACTGCAGTATATAAAATCAAAATAAAAATTTTTATTAAAATTTGATTTAGTAGTTGTTAAGATATTTTAACTTAAAGTGGCTGTACTCTCATTGTAACTATAATAATAGCATTAATAATCTAATAAAAGTTCCCAACCAAAAAGGTCACCTTAACACCAAAAAAAAAGATATTTTAATAAAGTTAAAAAAAGTTTACTTAAAAAAAAATTGCTTTTTTCTATTAACTTCCTCTATATAATAAGTTTTATATATGTTGAATTTAAAACATTTTTATATAATTTATTGTTCTTATAAATTTAAAACATTTTTAAAAAAGCTTTATTTTACAATGTTGTTTAAGCACTGCCCTCCTGAAGGGCAGGCACAACACAAATTCAATCAATGGTTAACAATTCAGCATTCCTACAAATCACATACTAACTATTAAAACCTAGACCACTCTAGTAGGTTTAGGTCGCAGATAATTAGCTTTAGCTTTTAGTCTGAGCTCCCATTCTTGTATGTAATTTA